ATACAAGCGGTTGAAGACTGTTCGGAATTCTTATCGATTTTTTTAATGTTCAGCTTTATGTCCCACTGACCACTCGTTGTCTGTGCGCTCATTTATTTGCTCATATCTTGTGAGCATGAGCCCGTGTGACTGTAGCAACAGAATAAATTATTCGCATTTAACTCACAGTCACCTGTGAGCGGTGGTGGCCCGGTGGTAAGGTCACCAAATTATCACCCCTGGGATGTGTTCGAATCCCCGCCCCCTAACCGCCTGACCTGCCTCTTGGTATCTTAAATGGCACCCTTTTGATTGGCCGCTTCACCCTTCCTGAAAATTGTATCTTTATATATTCAATAAAAGGAAATAAGGCGGAAAAAAGAAAAAAAATTTTGGTGTAGGATATTTGATATTGAGTGATTTGAACTGACTGTCCTTCGGACTTCACCTTCAAGCACAACCCTTAGTTCATCAATTCAACCATACACTATTATTAGAACTTATTAGTAGTGCATATCCACCGTTCACATGTTCGGGATTCGAACTCCGAACCCATCGGGCATGGAAGGCGTGTGGGTTACCACTGTACCAACCAGTTCATGCCAGGGCTGAACCGAATTGCCAATTCATATTTTTTCAGGTGCCGTCTTCAGAGATGGCTGTTTGAAAACAAAAGTTACGAAATTCAATTAACCCAACAACCATTTTGTGTGTACATGATTAGGGACAGATTTCGATAAAAAACTCACCTGTTTGCCCTTGGCTTTGATCTCTTCTGCAACGTCGTACAACGCTTCCATTTCCTCCGCAACCTTTTGTGGATCCAAATGAACCACCAGCAACTCGAAATTGGGAATACCTATGCAAGAAATCAATCAATGCGACTGTATCATTCTAATTGACGGATAGGTGATCAATCTAGTTTATGCAATCAGAGGAACGCAATTTACCGGCAGATTTGGGGGTCACATGTGCTTGCATTGGTGGTCGTTCGAATCTTGACTGATGGTTTGGATAGGTTCTTTGATCGGTCACTTCAAACATTTTCGATCTGAGATTCGGTAAACAGAAAAAAATATTGAATACAAAATAAAATTGCTGAATGGAAGAAATTCGTGGAACATACACAACAATATAAACAAAAAATTGCCATATTTGCACGATAGTTAGAATGGAGAAAATCAGTGATTTTACTTCAGAAAAAAACCGAAATTCGAATTTGACTTACAGTTACTCGTGAGTAGTCCGTGTGGTAAAATTGATATTGATTGATTAAAAGGTTGTCATCTGTCTCTGTCTTCGTTGCTATCGGGCCAAATGAACTGACTATCACTGAAGACAACATCTAAACATACATGAATTGGCAATTTGGTTCGGCCATGGCATGAGCTGGTTGACATAGTGAAAACACATGCGATGGATCTAGAAGTCAAATCCCGGACGGGACGGTGGATATGCACTACTGATGAGCGCTAATAAGAGCGAAACTCGAGTCTAATGCTTCTCCAAATGTATGGTTGAATCGATGAACTGAGGATTTTGCGTGAAGGCGAAATCCGAAGGATAGTCAGATCAAATCAATCAAAACCGAAATTCCTTAAAATTATGCGTATAGTGCATAATGTTGTAAATTTTGAAATAGTACACGCATCAAAATTAATAACACTTCATTTGCGGCTTCGAATCTCACGCGATGCGGGAAAACGTGCATCACAGACGGTTCCAATAGGGAATCGGAAATAGCTGTGCTGTAAAAAGCTGTTCGTTTTTTTTTGAGTGATCTGTTGACTCCGGTTAACAAATTAATTTTCCTAAAGCATCTATCGATTATTGTACTTCTTTTTCTCTGTTAATGTATATACTTTCATTTCAGTTATCACCTAGTCCAGTGTGACGAGAAATTGAAAAGGATAGTAATCTAAACATATTAATTTTTTATGGCAAGTGGGCAATTTAGGCGCAGTTAATTCGATACTGATTCGGGCAGCGTAGAAGTGAACAATCGCCGATACTAGGAGGTGCTGACCGTTTGTATCCCATATTTTACATGTGGAAAAAAAATAGATTTCACCATGGCAGAGAAGAAGAAACAAACCTGCCGAAAATGGTATCACCTGTAATTCCTCTTCATTGATCTGGATGAAAACTACATGCTGGTATCATTGAACTATTTCAACCATTTATATACAAGGCGAGGGGGAAAATCTGACACAGACTAGATCCAGATGACAAAGTTACACAGCAGACAAATATTAACTAGGATGGAGGGGATAAAGGAGGTTTTACGGAGTCTTGAAGAAACAAACCCCGGTTGATGAAAGATATATTACATGAGGATCACATGTGGCTTGGCAGATACGACAGACGGATTCACGGTAAATGACAGTTGAATCAATTATCCTTCGAAGGTAAACAAAATTCACATTGAAGATTGTACCGTGATTGAAAAAAACCGTGCTCAGAAAAACGGGATTAAAGGTGCTCGTGTGTGTGTGTGTGTGTGTGTGTGTGTGTGTGTGTGTGCAAGTCCAAAGAATTGTCCTAATTCCCGGACAATCATCGTAGTTTACTAGCAACATTATTTTAGTATACGCAAAACTCGTTAGGTTTCTGACCGTAATGATCGATCCTTATTGGACGTAGTTTTGTTCTGTCTATCTGTCGGAGTAGTCGAATGACAATCTTGTTAAACCGTTTAACACATATAGATTTCTCAAATTCAAAACGAGATTGACCAGAAAAGTAGTGAAAATTGCCTAATCTTTCATAAAAGAATATCCGATCAAAAGGACCGATCGTACACTGCGTCTGCCGTAAACCGAATGATTTCGGTTTAGTTCACCTTAGAATTCATTTCAATTTTCCGCTTGTTGCAATGTTTTTTTTTGAAAATGTTCAAGAGATAAAGTTTGAAAAGTTGCTACATGCTCAACTAAAAGATGGAAAACCAACCTAGCAACTGTTCGAGCGGAGCAAGGAAATGTTTGGTGTCCATATATTGACCATATCCTCGGTACGAGAAACCCGAGGGGGAAATAATCAATAGGTAGGAAATGTGCATCCGGGGACGGACCACAGAGCAACCACGGGTTCATTTTGTGTGCAAGTAGAGTACGTGACGCAAATTTGTTTCACAAACATTTATCTATGATAACCAGGTCGCGGTTGCCAAGGTGCCACTGGTGGCCGATGAAACGATACACATGCAGCTGAGTAATTCGGACTGGACAGCTAAGCAACGGAATAATATTCACTGAGGAAACCTAGATGTTGGCGAGAAAAGGGTATGCGTACATATATATATATATATATATATATATATATATATGTCACAATAACCTTGTTTGCAACACCGGGTGACTTTTGGNGAGTAAATGCTATGATTCAATGTTTTTGTTATCTGGAAAAACGTATATGTATGAATTGACAAAATATTACCGGATACACATGCCTAACGAGCGAAACCGGTTGTGTGCTTCCAGGGAAATTTTGTCCACTCATTCACATACTACTTATTATGAAATATATATATGTGTGTGTGCCATGTGTGTAACATCGACTCTCGCTGTATCATTTCAATGAGCTGTGGAATACGGAATTAACCCATATCAGTGCTCGACAGAAGTATAAAATCCCAAATATTTCCCTCTATATGTTCATTTCTGTATTCTCTAGCGGGATTTCATATAGCCGATCTGAATGATCACATTTATCGTGCATGGTGGCATGTATGATTTTAGACCTCAACTAGTTCTTATGCGTCATTCAGAGCACAAAATGCAAAATATATAGAGAGATGCTGAACAAGTATGGCACCTCCTATCGCGAGAACACGCACTCCTTTAAAAGTTCGCAAAAGCAGATAATCTCCCAAAAGGCCAATTAGTTTAGTCTGTGGATATAGTGATGGACACAGTCGCGAGAAACGAAAACATGTGAGACATACATACTGGATCAGCTGTTGAATCCCGGTTGTATAGCTCCTCTTATTGATTCCCCAATAGCGTCGGTTGTGCACCTTACAGACCTCAAACCGAACTTTGTGTGCTTTGGATTCCACAAGAAAAGATCGTAAAAATTAATGAATGATAACATAACGCTGTATTTTACCAGATGGTCCTTAGTTTCCATGACATCAAAAGGTGATGAAAGGGACTGAGAAATGTCATATGACGCAATGTGAAACACAACGAGTCATCTGTTCCTAAGAGCCTAATGGGTCATTTCAGACGGCTAACAAAATCTGATAAACGTCAGCCTGGCTGTTTATCCAACTTACCGTTGAGCGTTCAAATTCGGGGTACAAAACCTCGAACTAACTTTCGTGATAACCATTTTGGTGGAGAAACGTGACGGGGACCAGGCAAAAGTATCTTCATTTTCAAAGTTTTCAATACATGCACAAATGAAATGAAGTGTATCCCAAAAAAGTCACATTAATTTGGCACCTTGTTTTGTATGTTAATGGACAACAGGAAGACTTATGTGTACAGCATACTGCCATACTTTGGAGTTTGTGAGCGTGAGATAAGAATCGGACACCTGTTGGCAGATGATTGGTATTGCGTATTCGACCAGATTTAACCCAAAGAGGTACAACATTACGATAAATACTGTATTTTCGTAAGCTCCAGATTAGTAAGAACGCTAAGCGAGCGAGGCGTGACTACTGTGAGGACCGTAGTAACAAATTCTAGTGGCCTTCCTGCAGGGTAGAAGGAATAGACTACTATGGAACTATACAATGGGGCGTTGCCACCAAGAAGCAGCTTCTTGTTGACTGTCCGACTGCAGAAAAGAGTAAAGTATATTTATCAAATATATACATATATTTCATAATAAGTAGTATGTGAATGAGTGGACAAAATTTCCCTGGAAGCACACAACTGTAGCAGTGCACGAAACAAGGATAAATTGTGACATTCGTCTACTTTCTATGAACCGTAAATCGATTCATCTGTACTAAACCCTATAGGACTAGAAAATCACTCGCTTGTAAGTATTATCCATAATAAAACTTTGACTTTGACTTTGATCTCAACTGCAAGTAAACTGGNTGTTCTTTTAAAGCTAACTTGAGATAAACATTGGTTTTTGCAATAACTTTGGGCTAAGTAATCTTTACGAAGTTGTCTAATTTGATCGTGCACGAATCTTTCGGAGTAAATATATTATTCTATAATTTTCTCCTTCGGAATAGCTCTTCTTTTTGCAATGTGTCGGGAGAACAAATATTTCTAACATGCGGATCTAGAGGCCCACGTTTGAAACAACGGGGGTATAGCTGCGGAAATTTAGGTATTAACCGCGCCATAATGCTTTTCGGTGGGCAGATAAGAGTAGTGCTTCATTTAATGGCCTCGTAATTCTTATAGTTAGAAATGCTAGTGAACTAATGTTGTCTATTTCATGAGTTACAGATAGGTATGGACGGGCTTAGTTAAAACTTCGGATTTCAAATTTGTACTGGGTGATAAAATGAAAATATCGTCCATATAACGTTTTTGCAGTATGGATTTTGAAATATTATCACTAAATTTTTGTTCAATCATTCCTAAAATTAATGTGCCAAAATCGGGTTTAACAGAATGCTCCACTGCTACGTCGTCGATCAGTCTGTATGGGTTCACTTCTAGCCCAACACAAATGGTTTTGTGCATTAAGGTTTTTAAGAGGGATATAAAGGAAAGATTGTTTAGTGAAATATAATCACATAAAACATTAACTGTTTGAAGAAGTGGCAATTTAATGAAAGATAGGTACACATATCTCTAAAATATTCTCTGCGCAGCAATACTTTCAAAAACATTTTGAGAGTTCGAACGAATACTTCAACTAGTGGGGCTGGAGAGGCTATCGAATGGAATCCTGAATGTCTATCAACCATCAAACAGCATGTGACAGGGAGAGTTTTGTGCATAGAGAATTAGTCTGAGCAACGAATTTATGTTTCAACAGTGATGAGTTGGCCCGTCAATATCCGACATCGATGCTGAGATAAATTACCACCAAGTTGAAGGAATTTGATGTGTTTCAGGAAGACCCAGTTGAAACAACTCTGACAATTACAATCGTTGGTCAAACGGTTAATTTTCACCAACGTATCACCCTGCCGGGACTTGTGTTCGAAACTCACCACTGTCGCTTGATTTTCCCATTTTCTGTGTATTGCATAATAGCCCTTTAATTGGCACCTTCCTCATTCCTGAATACCGTTTATTGTGAAAAACAGTTATTAATCCATAGGTGTTCCGGATCATCTCGAAAATTTGGGCGTTGTGCTCATGGTAACAATAGAATCAGGTTTGTTTTAGCCACAACGTGAATACCAAAACACAAGATTTCGGTGACAAC